GCCATTGCCTCCAAAATTTCCATATTGAAAAAAATAATAATTTCCAAGCTCCAGTGGCACACAATATTTCATCCAACCACATTTGTGGCCAGTAAAGAAATCTGGAAAGCCCCTCAGAGTCTGTTCTCTGCCAAGGGCAGAATTATAATGTTGACAAAGGGCCAAGCCACATCTCTTTCTGCTTCTCCCTTCTCCGCAGTTCTCTACCATCACCATAAATTACCTGTCAAACTGAGTAAAAACAGCTGAGCAGGGACCCAGAGATATAACTTCAGCGAACATTTCCCCTTACAACGAAACATGTGGACACAACTGGTCTATCATGGACTTTCAATGTGTGTTTGTTGAATGAATGAACAAACTAATGAATGAATAAGTGAAAGAATGCATTAACCATGAGACAGCCTGGAAATCAAGGTTAACAATGTTATATAGCGAGAGAAAAAGACAAATGCTTGGCATTGACTCAGAAATACTGTAGTAGTTGCTCAATAAATGACTGTTAAATGACAAGGGGTAAGCACCGTATGAGACACTGACACATAAGAAGCATATTTATTCAAAATCCCAGGGCAATGTTCCACAATTTGCCTACTACTAAAAAGTATCTGGTGTTCTTATTAAAAATACAAATTTTCAAACTCTATTTCTGCAGATCTGTGGCAAAGTCTGAAAATCTATATTTGCAAAATACGTAAGTACCCTAGGGCCATAGCGATAGGGTAGTTTGCTATTTTTCTTCAATCTAGTAGAGTTTGACCAATTTATTCATTCATTAAACAAATATTTGTTGAGTTTTTACTCTATACTAGGCACAGAGTTAGGCACCAGGCATACAGTATGACAAAAATAAATAAATAAATAAGGTTCTCTTCCTTCTAGTACTTATCCTGGGGGAGATTTGAAAGTCATTAGTAGGAATAAGATAACACTCATCAGCCTCTGAAACCAACACAAACAAAAACCACCTGTATAAAGTTCCTGGTCTGGTGAATGAGAAAGGGTAGAGGATACACACAAACACACACACACACCTCTCTAAAAAGGATTAAAATTCAAAGTTTAGTCAGGTGCTAGAATTTGTACCCACTGCTTCTTTTCTTATCATTCCCCATACCTTGGGTGGTGTGGCCTAAGAAGGGAAGCATTCAGGGTCACTTCAGTGACAAGAGGTGACAATGGGGCCAGGGCTAATGCTCCCCCATGACTTCCAGAACAGGAATGTGTCTCTCCCTGGGACCTATGGGACTTGACTTAGAAGAGGTTCCAGAAAATAAATGTTATAATTACTGCAACAGATGAGTGAAGCTTTCATTGCAAGCTGAAGAACATTTGTTGTGAATGTCTCCTTAGGGAGGTAATTGTGGGCCTGGGGCCCTGGTGTTTCCATCTTTATCTCCAGCAGAAAGTAGGCAGGGCTGAAGTGCAAAAAAGCACCAGTTTTGGAGTTAGGGAGAACTGGAATCCCAACTTCTCTACTTATTTATTAGGTTAGTCAAGGTAACTCCTTGAGCCTCAGTTTTCTTGTCCCTCGGGGTTACTGGGGTCATTAAATGACAAAATACATAAAAAGTGCTTAGCAGAATTACTGGACCATAATAAGCAATTCACAAATCTTTGCTATTATTTTCATAGGTGTGCAAAAAAGGGTAGCAAGGATCTCTATTTACCTATATCTGTGCATATTAATTTTGTAGCTGTCATCTTGACAAGTTTCCTACTTATAGAAGCTTGGAGTTTTCATACTTGCCTTCCAGATTTTCTGTATACGAGATATTCATGAATTGGGGAAGGTTATGAAAGTCAAAAAATAAAATAAAATAAAATAAAGATATTCATGAAAAACTTTCCTTATTCAAAGATGTAAAGTTGAGGACCTAGTGGGTTTAACACCATCAGCCTCCCAATTGACTGGGATTACAGGCACTGGACACCACGCTAATTTTTGTATTTTTAGTAGATATGGGGTTTTACCATGTTGGTCAGGCTGGTCTCAAACTCCGGAACTCAGGAGATCCACCCACCTTGGCCTCCCACAGTGCTGGGATTACAGGCGTGAGCCACCATGCTTGGCCGAGATGATCAGTTTTTCCATTACCTTTCCCCTCACAAAACATACTCCAGTTCAAGAACACATGATTTATATAGTCAGTTCAGCTTTCCCAGACTTCAAAATGTCAGAACTTTTTCCTTTTCATTCCCCTATATACCTCACATAAGATTCTCCTGTTTGGCCTCATGCTCATTCCTTTCTTTAATTTTAGCAGCTTTAGAATTCCTGTTTTTGTTTAGAGTATTCATTTTTTTTCTCAAACTTCTTGTCCTCTGCACAAGAATGAGTCCTTAATTCTCTGACACCTATGATTGGAGACAGTTTAAAGAGTTCGAAGGGAAAGTGCTCGCTAGATTTTTTTCTTCTCTTCCCTCTCATCATTTCTTCTAACGTGACTTTTGGTTCTTAAAATCTATGATACGGGTTAAAAATGGCTGGTTCATCTTAAGGTGATTGATAGAGTAATTCATTCATCTACCCCCAAACTGATGACTCTTATGGGATTCAACACAGGATTTACTTATATTTGAGCTATGTCTACAGTTTTCTTCAAATCTCCCTGTCTCCATTTCCCCACTATGGAGAATGGAAATCTCGTCAAATTCCTGCCGACCTCACGAGGGTATTATAAAGGTTAATGAGGCAATTTCCCAGCAGTTTTTTGAGAGCCGAGAGTTTATGAATTTTATTATTGCAAGATTATTGAGGCTTTCAGTGCTTATGAAATAGCAAACATTCCCCTCAAACTATTAGATAAGAGTCCTTACTTTCAATTTTTCATGTTTTGGTAAACTCAGCTTCTTTCATCTTTAGAGTTTTGTTAAGTATTTTGTTAATATTTTGATGAGATGGAATTCCGAAAGTATTATATAAATTAGAATATATAAATACAAATATTTATATGCATTTATGTGTGTGTAAATACTTGTGTACCACATCAGTGATTTTACATATAATACTAAAAACGTTTTCCAGATAAAAGTTTCTCAAATAATAAATATTAAAGGTTTGAGAAAGGAACACTTAACTCTCACTAAACCGTCCACCCACTACCTGAATTCCATCCAAGACATCCCAACAGTTGTCGTCCTATCTCTGCTTACATCTCTCCGTTGACAATGTGTTCCATTCTGTTAACTTCCTATCATGCAGAGATTCCCTCCTTTTGCTAGGAAAGGGCTGTGTCGTGTTGTCTCCTCTCCCCTGAAATGTCCAACTCTTCCTCCATCCTCACTAAGTGAACAGTCTGCTTCCTCCTCTGCTGAGGAAACTGAAGCCATCAGAAGAGAGCTTCCACAGTCTCCAGCACAATATATTCTGCTTTCTCTCCTCTTTCTATGGCTGAAAAAACTTTCTGTGCTCCTAGCTAAGGCCATCCTCTCTCATCTACTTTGGGACGTCGCACCAGCATTCTCCTCGCTGTCACTTGCGTCTTCCATTTTTCTTTCTCTACTCAATTACTCCTATCAGCATACAAATGCATTGTTAATTTGCTCATCTAAAAATAACTTTTTAAATCTCACTTGTCCCACCAGCTAATATTCATTTCTCTTCATCCCTTTTCAGTAAAAGTCCTTATAAGTACTGCATATACCCACTGATCTGATCTCTCTCCTTGCATTCCATCACAAACACATCATTCAAGTTTCCGCCTCCACTGCTCCCCTGAAACTACTCTTTTTAAGGTCACCAGTGAACCTTGCATTGCTAAACCTGATGATTTCCCAGTCCTCACCTTACCTGACCTAGCAGGGTCACTCTTTCCTGCTTAAATAAATACCTTTTTGCTTGCCTTCCAGGACTTCACATTTGCCTTGTTTTCTTCTGACTTTTCTAGCTGCTCATTCTCAATCTCCCTTGTTTGTTCAGCTTCAAAACATATCACTTCTAGCCTCACTGTAACTGTCCCTTCCCTTGTCTAAGCTCCTGTAATCTATTGCAATTAGCCTCATAATTGATCTCTCAGCTACTGCTCTTACTGCTTTAACAGTAGCCAATTGATGCTGTTAAAATATAAGTCAAGGCCAGGCACGGTGGCTCATGCCTGTAATCCCAGCACTTCGGGAGGCCAAGGCAGGTGGATCCCCGGAGGTCAGGAGTTTGAGACCATCCTGGTCAACATGGTGAAACCCCATCTCTACTGAAAATACTAAATTAGCCAGGTGTGGTGGCACATGCCTGTAGTCTTAGCTACTTAGGAGGCTGAGACAGGAGAATCACTTGAACCTGGGAGGTGGAGGCTGCAGTGAGCCGAGATCACACCACTGCACTCCAGCCTGGGCAAGACAGAGCAAGACTCCATCTCAAAAAATATATATATATGTGAATATATATATTATATATATTCATATTATATATCAAGCTGAGTTATTCTTCTGTTCAAAACACTCCAGTGGCATCCCATCTCATTTGAAGTAAAAGGCGAGTCATTATCATGTCCCACCAGGCCCAACGTGATGTGACCCTGTGTTATCTTTCCAACCTCTTCTCTCCTGCTACTCTCCCCTTATTCACTCAACTCCACCACACCAGCTTGCTCAACGATCCTTGACTCACCAGGTCCACTTCAACCTCAGGACCTTGGTACTTGCTCCTTTTTCTACCCTTCCCCAAAGGACCACATGATGGGCTCTCTCACTTTTTTCATTTCCTTACTCAAGAGTTACCTTCTCAATAAGGCCCTCACTGGCCACTATATCAAACACCATGAACCTTCCCACTCCCTGAGCTCCTATTGCCCTTCTCTACCTTTTTCTTCTTTATCAATTCTCATATCTACCCATAGTTTACTCATTTGTTTATTATCTGACTTCCACACAAGAATATAATCTCCATGAAGACAAGAATGTTGTTGATTTATTTACTGTTTCATCCTGTGCCTAGAATTATGTCTGGAAAACAATAATCACTCATTATAAATATTCGCTAAATAAATGAATGAATAAAGTAAATAAATAAAACCATTTATTAAATCTAGCATATTGTTAAGAAGAAAAAATCCAAATATTGACATCAAAACACCTAATCCATAGATGGATTAGGCCATCTATGTGCCCTGTAGGCTCTGGTGTTACTGAAGCTGAATAGGCTGAATGACCTTCACCCCAATTCCACAGCACCACTTGCTGGCGACATGCTTCCCTGCAGTAGCTTGGTACGTACCCAGAGAACACTGGGTCTTTCCCAGGAGTTTACCAATCTCATCACTGTTAACTAATCAACAGAGGCAAATAGGATTTTGTCCTTTTTCAATATTCAACTAGGTTATCAGGTCTCAATCTTATTAGCTTTTGCCTCCTAGTCTTGTTCCCAAATCCAACTGGTGATGATTTCTATTCAGACTTAATTAAACTCCTAGGGAACTGGCTGCATTATAATTTTCTGCCTCTCTGATTTGGCTCTCAGTGTCAGCCTGAGCATAAACATTTAAGTAAGATATCATTCATCAGTCAACAAACATTTATAGAGCTATCAGGTTACAGGCATTGGATGCAAAAATACAGGCAATGGATGCAAAAATAAATAAGTCCCAGTCCTTGCCTTTGAGGAGCTCAAAGTCTAGAAGACGAGGGAGACTTGTAGACGAACTCAGTACATTAGAAGCTCAGTGTTAGACAAAGCGTTATGGAAACACTGAGCAGAGAGCAATTAAGTCGCAAAAGTGAGTTTTGAAGGATGGCAAGATGCTTTCTGAAAAGGTAAAGTGCATTGTAGTCAAGATAACTGCACAAGATTCAACCCACCCTCAATGTCTTCGGCTTTGCACAATACCACATGAGTCACTTTCTGCTTGTCTTGAGGTTAAACAGTGTTCCAGAGCTCCAGTTTAAAATAACTTGAATTTTTACAAAATCGTATATATTTCATATTCATGGCATTTGATCCATCCCCAGGAATTCCCCTCTCTGGAGATCATCAGTCTGGATAAAGTAATCCAAGGTGCCTACTTGGTACATTTTTCACTGTGAACTCACAGACTATTAGAGCTGTGAGTTTGGAGACCAACTTTGTCCAAACTTGACCCTCTTCACTGCTGAGAAAGCCAAGGCCCTGAGAAGGTGACAGCCTCCCCAAGTGTGCATGGTGATTTAGTCACCTCATTTCTCAACAGAACCTAATCTGAAGAGGTATCAATTCATGCAACACATCTCCAGCATCTGAGCCTGTTTTACTTCTCTCCAGACTTGAAATAGGCAACATTGCTCTGTTCTACTGCCCTCTCCGCTCTTGGCAATTTGATTGCCAAGTGTCTATGTAGCCAGCAGAAGTCAGTGTCAGGAGTCTGACCTAACAACTTTCCCACATCTTATCACAATCCTAGAGTCACCCCAAGCTTTGCTTTTAAAAAGGTCCCAGTGTGTCTGGAAGGTCTGTGAGTCAAACTTCATACCTAGTTCTTTGTCGGGTGTTAAAGCCTATCACATCTCAGCATTGCAGACTTTTTCAGATTCTCCAGGGTGTTCCTCACTGACTCAGATTCTCCAGAGCTTGCCTAGATATAGAACAAGAAAAGGAATGATATGTTCCCTGCTCAGTACTTATCTTCCCTACCTATCTGTAGCTTTGTAAAGTAAATGTATGTAGCCCAGCATCATCTAATGTGAATGTTTGGCTCTTTCAGTTTCCATGCTCAAGTTGCCTCAGTTAATGAGGACTTATTTAAAGTACCAAAGGGAAATAAGAACAGGAAGCCCTCTTAGCAGTCAAATCATTGGGCTGTGCAGTCACTTAGAATACCATGGTAGACTGGTAGTCCACCAGTCTGAGTCTGGGCTATCCGGTCATCTCTGCTCTGTTACGTCCCCTATTCCCCTCCCCTCTGCCTACTTTTTCATCTTTTATTAATGCTTGGTCTACCTCTTTTGCTGCCACCAGCCACCATTTAAAAATATATGATTAAATCATTTTTCACAGTCTAATGCATTTCACTTCTGTTAGTCTTGATATAGGCCACTAGTCGGTCTCTGTCTCACTGCCTTGGCCTCAGGGAGCATCTGTGGATGGGGTGAGATCAAGGCCGCCAAGCCATAGCACATGGAGATCTGGACATAAAGAACTACCTGTAATCAATCATCTCAGAAGGGAGCAGGGTAAATGCAGGCCAAATGGCATGCCTAACCCAAATGGCCTGTTCTGTACACACAGTTTCAAACTCTGTGGTTCCTTTGAACTCTTCCCTGAAAAACAGCATCTGTGAGAAATGTCATGTAGAGAGGAAAGTATAAGAGCTATACATGTGCACAAAGTAGGCAAAATTCCTTATCTTTTTCTGTTTCATCTTCTTAAAACTTGGGCTTAAAATACCCAACTTATAGAACTGTTTGAAGGACTTAAAAGTGCTGCACACAAGGCCACACACAGCAATATGAATGTTCATTCCCTCCTCTAAAGCATACAATGATGCATGTTGAGCGTTTAAACAAGGTCTGTTCCTTCCTAGCTAAGCCATGGTCTGCCTACTCCTTTGGATCCAGGCGAGGGAGAGCAATAGTAACACCTCATGTTTGCTGACAGCTTTACCTATGTTAACTCCTTTATATATAAGACCTCTTTATATATAGAACTCCTTTATATATGATATATGTGTGTATATATGTATATATTGATATATGTGTGTATTATATATGATATATGTGTGTATATATGTATATGATATATGTGTGTATATATGTATATATGCATATATATGTGAATTATATACCCTGATTCATTTATATATAAAATATGTGTGTGTGTATATGTATATGCATATATATAGGTGAAAATAAATATATAATGTCTGGGAGACAACTGTTATAAAGGAAAATGAGGGTAAGGATATAGTGATATATATGTATATATATTTTTTATATATACACATATATATGTATGTATAAAATCTTGAATGTAATCTTCGAGAGTTTAAGGACCTATGGTTGTTCCACTGCTGTATTGCCAGGGCCTGCAAGTATACTTGACAATTAGCAGCATCCTTTAAATACTTGTTGAATAAATAAATGACCTATGATCCAGGTATTATGATTACCCTTTATTTCAGGAAAGGAAATTTAGCACTTGAGTAGTCAAGCAAATAGCCCAATTCACATAGCAAATAGGTGATGGAGGCCAAATTAAAACCCAGACTGACCCTGGAATCCCCATGCTTCACCATTGTCCTCCATGGCCTCTTGGCATACGGCACTGCCCAGGTGCTCTGAGAAGAAAGCCTTTCTTTCACTCTGCTTATTTGAATCAGAAGCAGACCTAGTTCTAAAAAACAGAAACAATTGTTATTTTTTTGAACTAATGCTATTTATGATCCCCAGCAGCACAATTTTTACCCCCTTCCCCACCAGAAAGGGAAGCAGCATGGCAATCACTGTATCCAAAAACATACCTGGTCAGGGGCCATTGTTAGTTCCAGAGAACCAAACCACATGGAACCTCAACAAAAGTGATGAAATACCAGCATCTCAGAAAGTTAAAGTGAATGATCCTTCACAGGGGTTGCCCAATGGTGCTGTAATCTGAACTATTGCACAAATAAAGGCCTTTTGACAGCTGATTTGTGTTTTTCCAATAGATGAACCATCAGTCCTTCACAAACAATAAAGAACATGTCCCACATTGACGTGTCCTGAGTGAGGAGTGTCAGGGTCACTTCATTTGCAACCTGTTGAAACTGTCACATCAAGATTGTCACAGAGGAAAAACTTTCAGCTATGTCTAAGGCAACAAAAAACCTTCAAAAACAGAAGTGGCTGGCTAAAGTTAGGTAGTAATACTTTTTCCTCACAAGTACACGTGTCAAGAGAAGAATAATAATATAATTTAAATGGAATAGGAATTATAGTATTTGAGCTAGAAAATACTGAGCTAGAGGATTTTCCCTTTCATAACAATTTATGAAATGTGACTGATATTTATGGAATATTGTAATTTTGGCCTAATAGCTATATTCTAAGAAATATAATTATTCTAAAATATACATTTCTTTACAGATAAATACATTTCTTATCATCTGGGATTTACTTCAAATCAACCTGAGTTGGGAGCGGGGGAATGAGGATATACATTGATTAAACAAGACTGGCCATACATTGATAACAAGTGAAGTTAGGTAATGGGTAAGGAGAGGTTTATTATACTATTAACTTTGCTTTTACTTATGTTTAAAATTTCCACAATAAAAGTAAAAAGATAAGCAAATAATACAAACAACCTTTAAACAAGACTTACTTAACCCGTACAATGTGCACACTGTGCTCTGTACAATGGGTTGTGCAAAACCAGGTTCTTTCCTCAAGGAGCTTAACAGCCTCATAAAGGAAAGACAGCAAGCATGAACTCACCCAACAAACTGAAATCCAAAGTGAGTGCCAGTACGCTGAGAGAGAGAGAGAGGAAATCCAAGGGGCTCAAGTTCCAGTTGCCTGGTTAGGCTGTGCTAATTGAAACAGCTCTTTCATTAAGATTGCAATGCTGTTCCTACCTAACTTACAGTGCCCATGATACTAGTCGTATAGAATAAACATCTGTCATCTTGCATGTTGTCAGATATGGAGGAAAAGAAGAGAAATTAATTTTCTTCTTGACCAGGATATAGCTATACTCAAGTATACTATTTTAAATAAGATACAAATACTTGGCTCGGAAAAAAGCTGGGGATTGTAATGACAGACATAATAAGTGTAGTAGGGATAGTCTCAGATAGAGATTTTATAAGAATTACATAAACTACCTGAGACTGAAAAAGAGTTTAAAATGTTGGGACAAAGTTGGGTTATTTGCAGAAACTCAACAGATTCTATCAGACTCCAAAACAGATGTACTGGGATGCTTCATAACCATATATTATTGACTGTTGCTAAAGGTTAATGCCATTACCTGGATTTTTAAAACAGTTTGCATGGCAGTGAATATAGCAAGAAAATGAAAAATAAACATATATGTAGGTACAGCCATTTGATATAAATCTGAACTCATTTCAGTAAATGAAATGGCAAAAGACATGGCACTATGTAAGAAGCTGAACTAATTCGTTTCACATATCAAAAAATAATACTAAATGTTAAAGTATATAATGAAACTGTGCACACAATATCAGTAAAGTAATACATAGCATTAAAAGCCATCCACTTAATTATGCCAACCTTGAAATACCTTACCAACTAAGTATATGTTGAGAAAGGCAATCCACCATGGGCCCTGAGCATCCTCACACCTTCTTGCTGGGTATGTAAAGCATGCAAGGCCATGACTGATCTTTACCCAGACCATTGCTCAGGGTTGTGCTTACAGCAAGCAACCTTGAGAAATAAGATAATGTCTCCCTCCAGACAGAGAGCAGGTTTGCTTACTGTAAAAGCAGCATATTCCCCAAGCTTAGTGCTCCCAGGCTGCCACATGAACCAGCTATGTGTAAGCATCAACATAGGCCTTTCTCCATCGTCCCTGTGGGACTTGAATTGTGTTGGAAAACCAATGCCGACATAAAACTCATTTTACTTGCTCCATTGTGAGTAATAAAGTCCTTTCTCTCTGACCCAGAAGTCTCATGTCCTCTGCCAGTATCCATGAAAGAATAATAGGCTAGCTTATTAACTTGCAAACAGAATAAAATTCCAGATCCTGACACTGCATTAGCTTTGGAAAAACGTAATCAGATTATAAAATACACCAAAGCACGAACTGTAACACAAGTCAGCAGTTCTAGCAATTTACTAAATGTTCATTGGCTCAAGTGGCATAGATGGCAGACAAATTAGTTGAGAATTTATTTTACTTGTAACATCTCACATGATCTAAACATTTTAGATGAAGAAGTCGTTTCCTAACAAGGTGTGGGGCATGTGACTGGTTTTTATGTAGCTTAAATGTATGTACAGTCCTGACCTCTATTGTCAATTATTTGTTAAGTATTCATTAATCAACTACATGTCAAATGTGGTAGCTCATGTCTGAAAATGACTCAAACGTGATTACTTCTTACATTGGTTAGTGAATTAGCCAAAGATGCCCCAAAGATGGCTGAACAGAGACAGCTAACATGAAGTTTTGGAGAAGTTTTACTGACAGATCGTCAGGTGGGCCTCAGGGGCTCCAACTGATAAAGTTACCTCTATGGTTCTTGAAGTTCCTCGGCTTTACAAGATCAGAAATGCAGTTTTGTGTGCACTTTGAATTATTCAGTCTCAAGAACATGACCATATTTACAAGATTTAATTTGTAAATTCCAATCCCAATGTATTGCATGAGTGTCTAACATGGTGTTTGTCACAACCAAAGCCCTGTCTGAGGTAGCCTTGTGACCACACACCTCTAGGTATAACTGCCTGGATCAGAGGTGGGCTTCCAATGTGTGGCTAACCAAAGCATGAGGCCTGGCTTGGAAAGATAAACTGGATGAATTATAATTATCAGTAGAATGAGTCTGCTGCAAATGAAGCTGAAGCTGAAAATATACATACAGACTACAAAAAAAATCAGGGGACTTAATGTGTAGAGATTAATTTAGGGATATAAAGAGTTAAGATTAGTTCAAGTTGGCTGGGCAAGGTGGCTCACGCCTGTAATGCCAGCACTTTGGGAGGCTGAGGAGGGTGGATCATGAGATCAAGAAATCGAGACCATCCTGGCCAGCATGGTGAAGCCCCGTCTCTACTAAAAATACAAAATTTAGCTGAGCGTGGTGACGTGCCACCTGTAGTCCCAGCTACTCAGAAGGTTGAGGCAGGAGAATTGCTTGAATCCGGGAGGTGGAGGTTGCAGTGAGCCAAGATTGCACCACTGCATGCCAGCCTGGCAACAGAGCGAGACTCCATCTCAAAAAAAAGAAAAAAAAAAAAAAAAGAGGAATAAACTATGAATAAGAAAGTTATTAGGGAAGATACTTGGCAGAAAAAAATTAACCCCAAGTGTCCTGGGATGCTTATAGCAAATCAGCCAATTCTTATATTTTCCTGAAGGGTTACATGGAGTCATTCATTGAATATTTATTGAGCATGTATTATGTCCAGGCACTGATCTATGTCTTGCCTTCATGTAACTTATATTATAATCTAAATAAATAAAATAAACAAGTCAATTATATAGTATGATAGACAGCACTAAGTGCTATGGAAAAAAATTAGAAAGGTAGAAGTTGTAATTTGTAAACAGAGGAGGAAGGGAAAGCTTCATTGAGAAATGACCTTTGAACAAAGGCTTGAAGGAAATGGGGGAATGAGCCATCTGGATAGAGAGGAAAGGCCCTGAGGCAGGGTGTGATTGGCGTGTCTGAGGAACAGTAAGGAAGGCAGTGTGGACAGAATGAACTGGAGGACTAGGAGATGAGATCAAAGGATGGAGAGGGGGAAGAGGCGATGTACAGGGCCTTTGGGGCCACTGTTAGGAGTTGAGCTTTTATCATGAAGATTTTATCTGAAAGATTTTAATAAGAGGAGTAAAACTTTAGCCAATCAAATCAGGAAGCGGCTTTGGTGAGTAGAGCCAAAACAGTGGGAAATGGGTGAACCTAAAATGTCTCTTAAAGAAGAGTTTGAGGCACGTCTTTCCTTTACTGAAATAATCTTGCCAAAGGCTCCTTCTAATCTGGACAGTGCAGGAGAAACCTTGGTTTGGAGGATTTTCTTTTCATGGTCTGGCCTGATCCTCCCGCTTTTATCTCCTGTCTATCTGCAGACCCACCACAGCACAAGTGAACAGGTCTCCTGGGATCCAACATAGCTCGCCTTGATTGGAGTTGGGTGTTCCCAAACGTTCAGTTCCACATTATGATTGCTCGGCTTATAATCCAAAATAACTAATCACCTCTATTATAGGAAACTTTTACCAGTTTAATAAAGGGGTTTTTGTTTCTCATTTTTCTAAGTTTATAGTATAGCTCACCTCATTACTGAAGCCATTAACCCCCTATACAAGTAAATTTCCTTGATTTATCCTTTCTCATACCTGAATTTAGTAAAATGAAATATAAAAGCTGCATTATAAAAGGAAACATATGTACATATAATCTTGCACATACAGTTTGGGTAGAATTAAACTAACGTGCTTCCAAAGGGAAGCTATATGAAAAAATACTTTTCTAAATTTCAAATAAATGAGGCCATGTTAAATATCTATAATTAGTAATAGATGAAACAATGAACATATCCTTTGTAAACTTTAAAGCATTCTCCAAAAGTTATTTCTACTTAAGTCCCCAAATATATATCAAGATATATATAAGATATATGTAATATATAATATTATATATTGTTTGGGCATGGTAGCTCACAGTTGTAATCCCAGCACTTTGGGAGGCTGAGGTGGGCAGATCACTTGAGGTCAGGAGTTCAAGACCAGCCTGGCCAACATGGTGAAACCCCATCTCTACTAAAAACACAAAAATTAGCCGGGCATGGTGGTGCGTGCCTGTAGTCCCAGATACTCGGGAGGCTGAGGCACGAGAATCACTAGAACCTGGGAGAAGGAGGTTGCAGTGAGCCAATATCACACCACTGCACTCCAGCCTGGGTGACAGAGTGAGACTCCGTCTCAATAATAGTAATAATAATAATAATAATATGTACTAACCATTGTTCATATTACTC